AAAAGGAACTCTCCAATTTAGGAAAAAAAATAAAATAGAAAAAAAGTCAAAGCTAGAAGATGGGGTCATTATCTCTCAAATGGTAGAAGCTAGGGAGCACCCAGGAAAGCTAGATCAAATAAAAACAGAAGAGGAATTTCTTCTCCAGATAGCAGTCAGTGAAATTTCAGAAACATGCTGCTACACGTGACTGTGGAAGCAGATAGCATTTGTAGAGTCTAGATTCAAGAGGAATCAAACAGCTTTTACTAGAAGGAGTTGCTCATGGTCTGAACATCCCTCATTCTAGCATTGTGCATAGATAGGGAGGGACCTATAAGGGGGAAAGGGCAATCATTGGGGCTTGGTAGACCCCTGATCTGAACCAGTAAGGCATTTCCTTTGATCTTACTTGCTTTTAAAAAGTTGAACAGAATTTTCCCCTCAATATTCAGCAGAGGAGCTTAACAGAACCAGAGCAGCTGTGAAAAATCACTTCTTCCATAGGAATGATGCTTCCCATGAATAGATCTGTACGTTTCATTGAAGCCTCAGCAATTTCAAATATACAACAAATACATACAGAAATGTGAGTTGCACAGGGTCAGTTTAAAGCTTACATGAATTTTAGGGCAAAAGAAGCACCATTTGCCCTTTCAGTCAGTAAAACCATTTGGGCAGAACAGCACAAAAGCAAGAAACTGTTATTTGCTGAGCCTCTGCCCAGCTGAAGTGCAAAATAGCTTATTGGGGCTCTAGTTTCTTATCTCCCCCGTAACTTTTGGGTGTCATAGTGAGAACCACGGCACTCATGGCAGGAACAAAGGAACAGTTTGAAATACAAAAGGCAAACAGATTAAGCCTGACAACTCCTTAGCCCAACGGGCTAAAGCAGGGTCAGTATGCTGGCATCAGATGTGTGAAATGCAGACCAGTGTTATTTGCCAAAGAGAACCCTGAGGATATGTAGTTCATATGTAGTCCAGAGAAGCTCTCTTACCATTAAAACATCTGCTAAAGATGGTAAAAGCAGCATTTTGAAATTAAGTTTTATATATGTGGTCTTTCATGTTTCCGCTTTTGTGCTATCTCTTGTTTTAAAACTAAGCTCTGCAGGTCAAATAGAGCCAAAAATATCCAGTAAATATTCCCGTTCTGTATTTGAAAGAAATAAAAATATATTTTAAAGACGATCAAATTTTAACAGTAATGGTGGTGGGAGATTGCAGCAGTCAGACCCAGTAAATGCAAAAAGATAATTTCTGTACAAGCTCTAAGATTGACTAAGAAGCTCTCAGGTTCCAATCTGAACTCCAGCACCCTGGCATTTAAGTCCTAGTAGACTGGAAAACCCATCAGCAGTAAAGATTCAAATAGAAATACTACATTAATGTCAATCAGTATGGCTTTACAGAAAATATGACCTTACTTCTTAATAAAAAACAAATAAGCTTGTCAAAATCTCAAAAGGTTGTACTGATATAGTGCAATCATTATTTCATAAGGCATGTCATGTAAGTCTGCACTGTGATTCATGCTGCTCACTGTATCCATAGACAACCTGAAAAGGAGGAAAGAGCAGTGCTTGGGATTGTTGCAGCCACATGTACCAACGAGAAACACGGGCTGCACTTACAGCATGGGAAACTCTATTTTAGGAGACTGAAATTGATGGGATCTTTAAGGTCATGCTCAGTGTGGTTACTATGAGAGTAAATACAGCCCTCAAACACATGAGGAAGAAGCACAGAAGCTGACAAATGCTCACTTTGGTATTTCTCTGGTCAGAAGTATGTTGGCAGACAAAAGATGCAGGACAGTTAATTGTTCAAGGACTGCAAATCACATCCAAAGTTCAAAGAATCATTGTTGCATCTGTGAAAAAAAAAATAGTGCTAGCTACTGACTTTTTTGCTACCTGAACATGCAAATTAAGGATATAGCAGTCCTTTTATTAACAGCGAAGAGAAGAATAAAATCCATCACTGAATGATCTATATTACAGAAGTCTCTCTAGCAAGAGGCCACAGCTGTAAGGAACATACACTTTCACTGTAATTTAATTTTCACAAGCAATTGGTCTTTTGCCTCTTGTCTAAAACAGCTTTTGCTTGAACACACAACCTTATCATCTGTACGATCTAGAAGCTATGATTTGAATAAACAAGGCAGCTTTTTTTACTGTCATGCACTTGATACTGATCACTGAAGACTAACTAAGCAGTGCAGTGGAAAAAGCACATGGCATAAACTGACACTCCAAGCCATTCCACGTTCCAGGAAGAAGATGAATCACTTGCACAAGTAAAAACATTGACCTATATTTGTTACTGTAAAAGGAAGATCAAATTCAGACTTCGAGACTAAGACGTGCATGGTGGGCTTGTGTATTTGCATTTGCGTCCTATCAGATTTGTAACTTAATATCAACCTGGTTTGTGCCAGGAGTAAAACTCCCTGTCCTTTCACTGTTGCAAAGCTGAATTCACAGAAGCACAGAACAGCCCAGGTTGGAAGGGATCCTCAGAAGATAACCTGGTTCAACTTCTCATGGGAAAAGACACAGAAATTGTATTATCTAGCACCCTGTCCAATTACATCCTGAAAACCTCCAGTGATGAGGACTCCACCATGACCCTTGGGAGGTTTTTCCTGTGACTGATTGTTCTCACAGGAGAAAAAAAAGAATTCCTACTGAATTGAATACTCTCCCAATGCAACTTGCAGTCTGCCCCTTGTGAAGGGAAAGCCTCCATCCTCTTTGTAGCTGCCTGTATGTTCCACAGAGGCAGTAAAACAGATTCTTCTCCTGGTCGGAGTTAAAAGCCTTCTAGGAGTGCTCATCTAAAAAGGCAGCTGCCTTTAGGAACTGCAATGTAACTTTGCCACATTCTCAGTGAGCTGTGGCAGATGTATCCTCAACTGGCACTAAATGTAAAACAAAGGCATCAGTAGGATGTGAAGGATGACTATTAGGTTGAACATGAAAGGCTTCAGAGCCTGAAGGTCATCTTCCTGCAAGGCAGCTAGTTATTAGACTCTTACACAAACCCTCATGGCTTTCAGCATAAAGCATTAAGTTTGCAAAGAAAAACGCAAGCTAATACTCAAAAGTGTTTAATAGTTCTCATAATCCTTTTACAGAGGCAAGAAAAGTATATATCAATGTTTCATTATTTCAAGAATTTGTTCCATCAAATTCAACCTGAATGGTATTTTTTTAATCACCTGATTTTCAATTATGTCATTAGCTATTTATAAAAAGTTTTTTGAAGGCCAACACAAAGTATAATTTGAAAGAAAAGATCACTGGGATGGCTGTTGAGCTATTTTAAATCCCCTAGTCAAACTGAAAGCAGCTTAAGTGGAGTTAAGTCTACCGCTAAGCACACCAGAAACAGGCGCAGCTGAGAGCTGGCTACACTTTTCCTTTCCCCAAAAATGTACTAGAGAAAAGAGATCCTGTGCAGAGCTAGCAGGAATGTGTAGTCCCACAGGAAACTCTGCAGATGTACAACGATGGCAAGGAGCTCTGACAAAGAGTGGCAGCATGCCTAGTACCACGTTAAGCTGCAAGCCTCCAGTTCAGGACCAAGTCTCTACAGACAGTTTACATCAGAATTTCTGTTTACTACCTATCCTTCTCTCAGTAACTTCTACATACCAAAGCCTGGCCCCTAAATCTGTGGCCTATAGGCTTCCTTAAACAGACTTCAGGGACTTAGATTCCCAAAAACATTTTTGCCTGGTAGATTAAATCACTGACCTGTAAGTTTGCTGATCTCTTTAAAGAGCTACAAGACATTTGAAAAGCAGAACTTCCCTTTGCAGAACTCCTCCCAGGTAGACACAAATCCTGCCTTTTATTATAGTTGCTGCTGATTTGCTCAATAGGTCTGATAGTTGGTTAACAGACTTGCAGTTCCTCAGATCCCTCATGGAACTGTCTTCATAGACTGGCAACATGTTCATCACCCTTTGCTCCTCAGAAACCAAGCAAGGGAAGTGAATGGGATACACTTTGCTAATGTTAATCCAGATATTTCAGCTCTGACTTAGAAGAATTCTTGGGCAAATGTTATACTCACAGTGTCTTATTAGTGCTTTGGTCTATTTGTACCACAGGCCCCGTTACAGCTGCTTCAAATTGAGACATCTTCTGCTGAGTGTTTCAACTGATATGTTTCATACAGAGTATTTTAATCCCTAAATGCATATACATGCACACATTGCCTTGCAAGGAGGGCAACTTTTCATTCCCATGTTAAAAAGTCACAGGAGAGTTGAGACCTCTCAGTCAGTGGTACATTTGAGAAGAGTCCAGGTACTTTCTTTCACAGCTGTCCATTAGGAGAACAGCTTTCTCAACTGGAAAAATACATTCAGAAGCTTTGACAACAGTGTAAAACATACAGTGAGCTATAAGACAGTTTTATATAAAATACATTTCACAACAGTGTCATCTGTGCTTACTATAGTAACTTAACATACATTACGTAAAAGTATTATAATCAGAGTTAAAGCTTTTATCAAGCTAGGTAAGCACACTTTCTAACTGTTAATGTGATTTTTTATAATGCTCTTATTCATTGTTCTCAGAAAGGGAGATAGGCCTTCAAGAAGAGGAATTCAGAAAGTCATCTGACTACTCTTACATACTACTCGCATAGATAGTAAATAGCTAATGAAGTAAAACTATATTGTGCCACCTCGATAAAGTACAGAAGATGGACAGACGAATTCCGACTTACTGGTTTAATAGGCTTTTAAACAGCACATATTTCTATTCAACACCATTCTCTGTAATAAGATATGTAATTCTAAGTTAAATTCATTGCATCAAACATACCTTTAAGATGGTTCTTTAGCATTCAGTTCTGCAGAATCCTGGGCAAACAAGTCACTAATTGAATCACAATCAGTTTTATCCTGTTGTTGTTGCTTTTTTTGTTGTTTTTTTTTTTTTTTTTCCCCAGATCCAACAGAAGTAAAAGTTAATGCCTATAAACCAGAAAGCTGACCTTTGACTTCGGAAGAAAACTGAGCCAGATGTCGGGTTACAAAGAGCCGCAGTTGCTGATTCAGGTCACAGTAGAGAGTATTAATGTCCCAGGAACGAATTCCTGAGGAAAAAAAAAAAACAACACAACAAAACAGTGAGCTGTCATTTCATCTACTCCAGAAATGCAGACAGAGAAAAAGTTAACAGGACAGACAAGGACCAGTGATGCTCTTCTAGATGACCATACTTAGGATCAAGAAAGCCTTCAGAAGCAGAGGGCTGTAAGTTGCTTACCTTCCATAAAACATTTCTCCCTGAAGGACATGCAGTGAGAAAGTTTTCATTCAACTTGGGCTTCAGGCAAGGGAAGCCAATAAGCTACAAGGGATGAGGCCAAATAAGTTACACTACTGTCTAACCAAGCAAATACCTAATGTTAGTTTTACATCTTCTGTGCTGTCCAGCATTGGTCACCTGTAGAGATGGGCTACTGGCTGGTTACGTTACTGACAGCTCAGACACCAGTTTCTCTGCTCTTATAGCCTGTGCATCCTCCAAGTCACAAAAGCTTCCCCACAACTGGCTCTGCCTAATCACTCCTTCAAAGCCCCTAATCCCACTGAGACCCTTTGAGTTTGCTCTTTAATCTATATAGTCTTTGCAAGCTAATTGCCTTCATATCACAGCAGGAAGCTGCATCTGCTCCCACAGCAAGTGGCACCAAGCCATACTGGGGAAGTCACCTTCAGACCTCAGTGTGAACAGTTGTACAATCTAGAAGACACCAAACACTACAGACCACAGATCTTCACATCCCAGTAGGGAAGAGCCTCTCCTAGATGATGCAACACTACACTATGGCATCATGAACAAAACCAGGATATCAGCAAGAATCCCTACTCCAGCCTCTGGTGCTCATGCCTGTTGAAGTACAGATGTTGAAGGCCAGACTTCTAAGGTTAACTGAAATAAGAATTTCAGCCCCAGTATTTATTGATGGGGTCCTCCCTAAGAGTTCTTCCACCATCTCTCTTGCATAAAATGCAAAGTTTTATTGCCTCTGATATCTGCTTTCTTTCAAGGGACACGTGTTGATTTTTCATGCAGACATCATTCCCATTTACTGCAGTTCTAGTTTTCCAGCTTGTGCAACAGCTTCTGCTGGCCTCTGGCAGGACAGGATCCTTGAGGATACAAGCTCCAGCTTTCTACACATACGAAGAGAGAGTTCGTAATCATTGCATCACACAGGTCTCAGGGCCTGTAGCAGCTAAAGAAAACTTCGTGTTTGTTTCTTTTTCTGGTGACACCTGACACAGCAGACTAATAGAGCTTATTTGTTAGCTGACAGTCTGCTCTGCAGTGTGCACAAAAAACCCTCCATAAATCCTCTGAACTTAAGAAAAAAAAACCAAAACAAAACAGGAAAAACAAACAAGACAAACAACCTACCAGCACCTTTCAGTTTGGATGCAGGATACAAACAAATGAAACATATAATAAAAGATAGGGAGCAAGAGGGTGAACAAAATGTTTTTCTATGCTACACTCTTAGACAGCACAATTGTTTAAACAAATGTCCAGTATAAGAGCATCTTAATGCAGTACTGATGAACATTCTGACCTCGACAGGAAAAAGGTAGCACTCTGCAGGGCAAATCCTGCTGACTGTAGCTGCTGTGTCATTGTCATTATGTCCTATTGCAGCAGTAAGTGCTATTTGAGGTACTGCTACATCTTCTAGGATGCAGAAAGAATAGATGCTCTTTCAGAGCAAGGAAAGGGAAGAGCGAAATTATTTCATTCACTGTTGTATTTATTCAACCTTTTTCCCCTACAGGTAGTCTGAGGTTACTTATAATCTCTCCCAGTTTGCCACAATTCCAGTTTATCACTCCATGGCACAGGAGTCAGAGCATTGTTGATTAGAATCCTCTGCCACGAGAGTGCAGACTATACCATAATAAGGTTTCTAAACGTTCAAGCTCTTTGCATGTGAAAAGCCTGGGTAAGGGACCATGTGACTCATCAGTTTTCCATCTCATTCTTTATGCCCTTGTGAATGTTTTATTTCCTGCTGAGGTAATTGGCTTAAAAGATTTGGCATTTCCTCCTAATACTAGACCTAGTCTTCCAGATATGGTTTCAAAATTAGACAAAAGTCACACAGGAACAGAAAAAAAGACCATTATTTATTAGACAGCATTTTGGAAAAAGTGTCATTCAAGCATCCCAAGGTTAAAGTCACAGCCTACAAAGCTCTACACCTGTAAAAAAGCAGGTTCTGTAACGTTCTGTAGTCACTATTGCATTCTCTTGAACCAAGGTACAGAAAGAAGTCTGGATAAAACATACTTCTTGGATCAGTCGGGGCAAGAGATTTATAGACTGATAAAATCTCTTTAAGTGTTGACTTTGTTGTTTGTTTGGGGGTTTTTGTGCAGACAGGGTGCCACAGCTGACAGAACAGACATAAAACAACCCCCAGCTTTTTCCTCCTTTGTATTCACTGCTCAGCAGCCTGTTCTACCCTCACACAACCCTCATGTGAGCCCTCTCTAGCACCTAACACTTAAGAAACTGGAATCATCATATGTGTGCCATTTCCACATTTCTTGAAGTCTCTGAATCAAGGGTACAGACATCTGCAAATCACAATAGTTTGACTAGACAGATCTCCAGACTCCGCTGCCATTTTAACCATTCTCGTTTTTCATTTCTTTCTTACAATTTGCAAATCTTGGTCTATTTCAAGAAGAGGTCATTCTCCCATTTCGTAGTGGGGAAAACTCCTCTAATTTGCTGGAGGTCCTACTCCATGTCAGTGACAGAGGAAAGATTGAAACCCAGGTTTACAGCTCCCCAAATAGTTCACTTCTACCGTTAGTAAGTTACCAATACTGCTGAAATGGCTCCCTCTCATGCAAATGAAAGAAGTGTTTGCACTTGGCAGAATTTCAGCAGGTTTCTAGTCAGTGAAGGCCAATGGGAGAATTTACTTCTCCTGTGGCAATTACAATTTATGTTGCAAATGGTTTTCTTTTTCCTCTGCAATGGGAATTTCCAGGTTATCAGCATATGACTGCAGAATCAGAGTGAAATCCACTAGTTTACAGTCTGATTTGTCGCTATTTCAAAGTTTCAGAGAATGGATAAGGGTGTAGGTTGGCACATCAGGTCAGTGAAGTGCCAAGTGAAGATGATCACCCCGTTGTGCAGGAAGCAGTAGCCCCTTCAAAGAGGGTCTTTCAGAGGCCAAATTGTCATAATCTCATCTACCTCTACTGACTAAAGCCATCCCTTGGAAAAGGCATGAAACACCCCTCTTGAAGCAGCTGGTAAGGGGCCTGCCAGCAGAGACAGCTGGAAAATATGACGTAGAGAAATTAGACAAGATTTGACATTTTTAAGCCCATCCCTCTCTTACATTGCACTGTCCATCTGTTCCTCAGTACTGATGATGCTTGAGAGGAAAACAGTCACAGAAGTATCTCCAATAACATAATTTGGCCAACAATTATAACTTATCCTTGGCATCTTTCAAATCAATGTGCCTTGGAAATGGGGAGCGGGGGAGAGAAGTGCCCACAGAGACAGAAGGCTGTGACCTTTTTTCTTGAAGATGTACTAACTGCTTATTGGAACAGGGATTCCCTTAAGGTCGTGATGTAGATGAGCACCTATCCTTTCTCTTTTTGCTAGAAACTATCAGAAACTGCTGCAAAGGAAGAACTACCATCTCACCACCTCCTCCCTTAATTTTAAACAACACTGTATCTAATATACAAAGACTAATTCATTGCTGAGGCCTCTGGGTGCTATCAGGATATGGATAACAAAGGAGCAAAATGTTAGGACAGCCCTATCCTGCACTGTGTCACTCCTGAAGCATAGTGTGAGTGACATGCTACGTCACTCCCTTACTCTGGTTCATGCAGTCGCTCTGTAGACAAGGAGAAGCCACATCACAACAGAGCCCTCTTCACAGCTGTCCCTGGCACCACAGGGAACAGTCCAACAAGACAATTCCTCCAAGAAGATAGAACTTTGGGGTAAGATGGAAACAAGATGCAATCCATCAACCCATGAAATACCTTCAAGCTTTAAGACATTCAAAAACAGGGTTAACTGCGTGTCACTAAAGCAAATAAAGGAATGCTCAGGGGAGAAAAAAATTCTACAGCCGTGTCCTGCCTGGCTGTCCGCAGGTGCGGCCGGGTCGCCGCCATCACGGAGGCCGCCTGCCGCAGCAGATGACCGGGCCCGCATTTGCGCCGGGGGCCCGAGCCCCGCCCGACCCCGCGGGGCCTCGCGACGCCCGTGCGCCTCCGCCCCCTCCCGCGGCCCCAGTTAGCCCTCGACCCTTCCCGCAGCCGCCTGCCTGCGAGGCTCCACCCCTGCCGCCGTCCCTCCGGCAAAGAGCTGGCGAACGAAGCCCTGCGGCGGCGACGGTTTGGCTACCGCAGGGCGGGCGAGGCGCACCGGCAGCTCCGGCCTCGGCCCAGGCGGCAGCCGGGAACGGCGCCACGGCAGGCGCGCAGCCCCGCGGCGCTCGGGGGCAGGGCGCCCCCGCCCCGCCTCGGGCCCTCCGCCGCGCCTCCCGCTGCTCACCGCGCCCCAGGGCCCCGCCGCACGCGTCCCCGCTTCCGGCTTCCGTCCCGATCTCCCCGATGACGGCGAGCAGCGCGTGCCGCCGCCCTCCCGGCAGCCGCGCCGCCGTTGTCCATAGAGACCGGCCCGCCGCCGTCTCCATGGCAAACACCCGCGCCGCTGCTGCGCGCGCGCTCACTGGCGCGCGGCTCTAAAGCGCTTCGAGCCCCTCCCTGATTGGCGAGCTGGCACGTGGGCCTGAGGTACTGCGGAGAGGGGCGTAGGCCGGCGCCCCGGGCCCCGCCCCGGGCCCAGCGCCAGCCCGCGCCCCCGGCGCCCCCCGGACGGCCCCGGGGCCCCCTGCTCGCCCGGCCCTGCCCGCCCCGGCCCTGCCCGGCCCTGTCGGCCCCGCTCTGCCGCGCCCGAGCGTCGTGCCGGCACGGCGGCTGCCGGTGAGCTCGCGCCGGCGCTGGGGCGCGGGGTCTTGGTCCCTTCCGTCAGGATGGACAGAGCGGCACAGCGGCAAGCTCG